GTTTCTTCCACAGTATGGAGAGCTTTCTGATTCTTCTCTTATAACATTCAGTGAATGCTTTCCCTGTAATCCGCTTCGTCCATTTGTTGTTTCTCATTCTTCCAACATATCCAAGCTGAACTCTTTTGCTTGACAGAGGCATTGCCTTGATATTATCGCTCATGTGAGACCGGAATCGCAGTACTTCACTGGGATGTACAGACGGCTCTCACATGCCGTTTCTGTGGCTTGTTGCGTCACCGTTTTCTTTTTTGCTTATCAAGCGTGGTATTCCATGTTTCACTTCCATTACACAGCAATTTTTAACGTAGCGAAGTTAAAAAATGACACTATTTTGCCCAACAAACGTGGTATTCCATGTTTCACTTCCATTACACAACATCTCCTAGCACAGGGGCATTGAAAAGTGTTGCTGTTTTGCTTAGCAATCGTGTTAAGGGTAAGAAACGTATACGACTTAATGGACCGAAATATTTCTGATCATTGAAATGATTCTATTAATTTATAAATTTTGTGATTCTGATCTCCTACCTTTCTTTTTGACTTTCTTCTTATTTCATCCATTGTTAACATATACCTTTCTATTCCATGATTCACTTCTCGTAAGTGCTGGTAAGGTCTTCTGCTTTGCACCATGCTCAGGTACTAATTCATCTAATGTATTTTGCTGTAAGGTATGGTATGGTTGCTCGTAGTCTCGACATATTTCTTACCAATTACAAATATTTTGATTCTCCCTTCCCTCTTTTTTCCCTTCGTTCTCCTTCTCTTCTTTTTCCTCCTCATTTTTTACCTTTAAATACTGTTTTTCGGCCCGCAGCTATTAGAACTGGAAACAGAGGGCTTGAAGTACTCAGGTCATTAATTGCATGAATGGTTGTTGCTTTACACCTACCTTTTGCGGTCACTAGCATAAATCACCCACATTCGTCGGATTTTTACCCTTTCAGTTAGGTGTAGCTATTTCTGTTTCCTAACTCTGATAGCGAACTTGAGGCAATACGCGTTTTTTCCAACACATTTCGTTTTCTTGTTGGATCAAATATTAACTGATAATAATTCAGAGAATATTTCAACTCTCGGAGAAGCACAGTTTTAGCGCGCATAATCCCGACCTGGTACGTTATTTTTGCCTTTTTCCGCCCTACTGTTTGTGTATTTTTAGTCTTACAACTAAATTTGGGTCAAAAACTAATCTGCAAGATGGGGTAGCGCCTCCAGGTAATGAACTTGATGTCTTTCATAAACAGGGCTCAAGCTTTGGATTACGGCCATTCCACACTTTCCACGGTTTGCACTGGCTGTTTACTTCAGAAATCACGATTTGGTCCATCAAGGGCCGCAATTTATTTATCAATTTAACCCAATCTAGCTTCTTCACTGGGACCGTTCACTTACGATTTGACCTTCTAATGGCTGTTACTTATCATTCCTTCAATTTGTTTCTCACAAAAAGGAGCCATCGACAGCTTTGCCAGCTTGTAGCTATTGATAGAGTGCTTTATCAGTACAGCCATTGCCTCGGTCTTTCATAGGGAGTAAATCCTCCAGGGATTTTAACGATGCTTGCTAAATTACGCATTTCGGCGATGCGCCAGTTCTTTTGAATCTTTATTTTTCGATTTTTTTTTTTTGAATTTTTCCTTTTTCCAATTCAAATGAATTCAAAATTCGAAAAATCTACAAATATTTCTGTGATTCTTACCATTTGCTAGCGTTATTTTGGGCCCATCATCCAACAGAATTCCGGAAAAAAATTGCAGCACGAAATAACCACGATCTTCCGTAGAACTCTGAACGATGTAACTGCTAGGAGCAGTCTGTGGAGATTTCTTTTTTTTTTTAAATACCTTCTTTTATGCGCATATTCCATTTTAAGTTCATTTTAAGTTCACAGAATGGGCGTATTTTAAATGATTTACAGTGCATTATCAGGGCAGTGCAAGGGCCAGCCGGAATATCTAATGATACTCCTCGATAATTGCAGTTAATCAGAGCTTTGCTGAAGAAAATCACAAAGTGTTATAGCGGTGAAAAAGATAATCATAGTACCGCAGTAGTGCAAATTGCAACGAATAATCACAGTTTATCCTGGGGCTGTAAATGCTAATCACAGAGTAACACACACCGGGCGAAAGAGATACTTGAGTACTGTAGTGCACTGCAAGAGATAATCACTGAGTACCGTTGTATTGTGGTGATGTAAAAGTTTGGATTCGGAAGACGACCTGTGACTGATGAATTGCGGCCGTTAGAGGGCCGAATCATAGCCTTAAAACAAATAGGCTGTCCAAAGAAACCAAAATCTGGAGCAGCCGAAGTCAGAAGGTTAAAACGAAGGGTGGGATAAGTTTGTTAAAATAAGTTACGGCCCATTGATAGGCCGAACCGTAATTTCTGAAACAAACTGGTGGCCCGGAACATGAAAAATATGGACGGCCACAGTCCGAAAATTTTAAACTAGGGTGGGCTTTGTTTAATAAATTATG